TTCTTCCTTTCATGTAATGCATAAAAAGGCCCTTCCTCATCCAAATATTTATTCAATACCAACATTCAACAAATATATTTTGAGGATTTATTACACCTCAAAGCAAAGAAAAACTTTTCCTGACTTCAAAACTTATTGTCAAAAATAATAAAGACTAGGGCTTTATTTTCTACATTTAACACTTTACCTTCTGGAAATTTTGATGTGTGGAGTAAATAAGAAATTTATCCCATAAAATTGCCTCATCTTCATTTGTTGCAAATAAAAACACAGTTAGTGCTGTATGGTGGTTAGAATTAAGGGTTCCAGGGTGCGCCTGGGTGGCTCAGTTGGGTAAGTGTCTGCCTTCGGCTTAGGTCATGATCTCCGGTTCCTGGGATTAAGTCTGGGTGTTGGGCTCCTTGCTCAGTGGGGAGTCTGCTTCTCCCCCACTTTCCGCTCATGCATTCTCTCTCTCTCCCACTCTCCCTCTCTCCCTCTCAAATAAATAAATAAAATCTTTAAAAAAAAAAAGAATTAAGGGTTCCAGAATCAGAAAGAACTGGTTGTGAATTCCAGTTCCTCCACTAAATAACTCTGTGTCCTTTGGCATTTTAGTTTACTTATTCTGAGCCTCTCTTTACCAAGCTGGAAACTGGGAATAATCATAGTTATTATTATTTTGATGTTTGGTGAAGATTAAATGAAATACTCTGTGGAAATTTCTCAACAGTGCTTGGCTTATAGGAGGTACTATAAACTGACTTGGAATGCCACCATTATTTTTTTAATATATTATAGATATTGTGTTATATTTCTTAATATGTTTTATATATAGAAACTTACTATTTCTAGTGATGAGATTCTTTTCTAATTTTGAACTTTCACAATGTTGGAATAGTTTACATGATACCTGTTATGAATCTACTAATAAAAGTTATTTCCCATTATTAATCATTTTCTTCTCCCCTCTTCTAGCTGTTCTCACTCATTTTTCTGAATGAACTTGAAAATCACTTTAATCAGATTTCCAGATAAATTCCAAAATTTATCCTGGTTATACTCTATATTAGAATTTAACTAGATTGATTTCATGAATGTGAAAATGTATACATTTACACTACTGAAGCACACCATTAGGAAATAGTCTTGTCATGAGTCTTTCTTCCATACATCAGTGATTTTTTATCATTTTCTTCAGCTAGACTCTATATATTTATTACTAGATTTCTTAAATTTTATTGTGCTATGGACTCAATATCTGTGTCCCTTCAAAATTCGTACGTTGAATCTTTAATCCCCAGTGTTAAGATATTTGGAGGTGGGGCTTTTGAGAAGTGACTGAGTCACGAGTAGGACACCTTCATAATGGGATTAACGTCTTTATAGAGGAGGAAGAGAAGCCAAAGCTCTCTCCCCACCATGTGAGGACACAGTGAAAAAACAGCTATCTGCAGGGGCACCTAGGTGGTTGAGCATCTGACTCTTTGTTTCTGCTGGGGTCATGAGACTGAGCCCTAGGTCAGCTCTGTGCTCAGTGTGGAGTCTGCTTGAGACTCTCTCTCCCTCTCCCTCTGCCCCTCAACTCCCCTTACGTACACATACGTGCTCTCTCTCTCTCTCTCAAATAAATAAATAAATCTTAAAACAAAAACCAAAACCAAAAAACAGCTACCTGCAAACCAGGAGAAGGGCCCTCATCAGACACCAAATCTGCAAGTACTTTGATCCTAGACTTTTCAGCTTCCAGGACTACGAGAATTAAAGGCTACCCATTTCATGGTATTTGTTATGGTAGCCCAAACTGAGACATGTTGCTTAGGATTTTTAGTTGTTTCATGAAAATATACATCAAACACTTTGCATACAATGTAGTAGTAAGGTAAGTATTGTGCATGAAATCTCACATTTCAGTCTATTAATTCTTTAACTTCAAGTACTTCAATGAATCAATTACTTTTTTAAAGTAGTTGACATGTCATCCTATTGAAGTAATAACATTTGTACTTAAACATCACCTGATTAAACACTGTCACCTCTCAGATTTTGAGAATGCACCTCTAAGGTAATTTTTATGTTTTTCACATATAAATTTAGATTTATACAAAGTAAATACCTAAAAAGGTAAATACCTTTTTTGGAAAAAAATTCTTCTTCCTAAATCCAAAAAGTTTGCAAAAGAAATAAGGTAAAACCACAAAATTTTATGTATTCCATCAAATCAAAGTATAAAATAGATTCCTATCTCCTTATAAAAATACTAGACCAAACAGAAAGTTCCTAAGTGTGATGGGTAGATAGGAGAGAAAAGTGTCAGATTAACAGAATATATTTTTTTTCTTTAGAGTCAGGAGTTAGCTCTAAAAGTGAATGTATGTAACAGTTAATTGTAACACTGACTTCAGGTATGCAAAAGTAATTATCTAAGAATATTTATTTTCTGGCAACACTTCAACAGTGGGGGTCCATTTCATGGGATATATCTCAACACTGTATCAACAGTAGTTTATAATCTTCCAGTTGACTTGGATCTGAATGGTAGCAATATAAGCAAGATTACTGTCTTTATTCTTAAGTAAAAATAAAGCCTTTGCATATCAAATAATTTTGAGAAATTGCTAGGAGAGAAGTTAGACTTTCTCTGTACTTGCTATAATGGCTCCAATATTAAAATAAACAAATACAAATCAAAGAGAATGAGGGAGAATGGGCAATGCGGATCAGCATGGAAGCAGACAACGCAATGCTTGGAACATGATTTTTTAAAAAAGATACCCAGGACTACAACATTTATTTCCCTGGCTCAGGATATCAATAAATTATAATGAAGAGGGATTCTTGTCAACACTAGAACCAAACAGTTGTGATACCTAAAAATTATTTTTCTTAATCACTATATATTAAGTGCTCAATATCGTGTATAAATAGAATTTATTTCATTGTTAAGATTGTCTTTCTAAACCTCCCATCTTTAAAAAATTCTGAGTTAAAACAAAAAGTTCAAGTATTCTGAAAAGAAGGTCCATCATGTAAAATAAGAAAATTCTCAAAAACGTATTAATAGAATCAGTTGCATCTGAAATTCAACTTCAACTAGGCCAATTTCATTACGAAAAGTCAACATAATAATCTATTTCTTTAAAGGTCACACCATTTGGATGCTTAAAAGGGACACAGGTTGATTTTTTTTTCAAAAAGGGACTATTTTAACATCATTATAAAGTTAACTTTTTAAAAAAAAAGTCTCACCCATAAGTTTCAGCGTCACAAATTTTTATGAGAAAAATTGCTTGGCCATCATTATTCTTCCACAACATTTCCCCCCTCCTATGGTGTACAAAAGAAACTCACACTTCTAAGTGATTCTCGATTTTACCAACAGGTTATGGTCCACATTTTAAATAAAATACCAAAGTGGAAAGTTCTCAGAAATGAAAATGAAAAGTGAAAAAGCCAAAAGGTGATCTCCTAATGTAACATTTAAAATGAAATCTGTTTATTCACAGATCTGTTCCTTCATTTCCCTCCACGGCCACGAGTTATTAGAATTTTTCATGCAGCCGAGACCTTTTGCACTCGGCAGCTTTCTCCTTCTTTCACATTAACCTTTTCCCTGAGGCAGGACCATGCATGTTATCACAGAAAGCGTGCTAAAGGAAGCTCCACAGAGATTAATAAGGGAAGGGACTTTGCACTTCTTGTCAAACCAGCCAAGTGGTTCCTCTTTGCTGCTCACCAAAGAACAGCGAGGGTTTTCCCAGACAGGTCAGAGAAAGGGCAGCACACCCACATCCAGCCTCTCTGGGCAAATTGGACAAATATAAATGAATCCCTGTCTTCGGCTGCATTTTGTATTTAACAGTTACTAATGGCATGATCACTATCCCAAACTATGGGAAACAAATCAATAGATTGTTTTCTTCTGCAGAGAAGAGATTTTTCAGTATTCACTGTTCTTGTTCTACTGTAACAACAACTGAATATGTAAGTAGAAGTCCAACAATAGCAAAACTGAATGTATAGAAACTTATTTTAGCAGAAGAAAATGAAAAATTCTATAAACATGACTTAACATAGCATCTGAATAAAAACTAGAAAATATGTTTGAGTAAGGTGCTCTAAAATACTAGAATTAGTGCCTCCAGATAATTGAACCAGTAGTTACTATGAACCAACAATGAACCCACTTAATTGTATGAAAATGTTTGTGAAAGGTGATTGCCCTCATTCCACTAGTGAAATGCAGTATTCCTTCAGGACGTCAGATTGCAAGAGAAACTACAGAAACATACACGTCTTTACCCATGTCTTGCCTTGGTGAACAGTTTCCTTTTTCATATAACACCAGTAAGCAATGGAGCATTTTCCCGCTGCTGAGAGTCAATTTATCTCACTTTACAACCTCTTTAATGAGATGGACGTTCAAGATCACACAATTAGTACATGGTTTATGCAGGATCCAAATCTAGGTCCTGCACTCCCCTAAGCTGGTGCTGTTTCCTGCACCCCAGAATCAAAGGCTACGAGCCCATGTTGTACTCTGTGGGCAGTCGGTACCAACTCACGGGGAAGGTAGTGTCCTATAGGCAAAAATCAAATCTATTCATGCAACCTAAAAGTCATCTCAAACATTTCCATATTGATTCCAAATTTAAGCTCATCATTTCCATCACAGCATTTTAAAGCTTCAATCATGAGCTTCTTTGGAATTTTGCTTCCCTGATACATTAAAAACTACAAGACTGCATTTCACTTCCTTCTTTATAACCAGTAAAAACTAGTTTAGAATACGTTCCCTCCAGTTAGAATCTTAGCAATTTGATATTGTTTAATTAGAGGAATTTTGGTCTATGAACCCATCTCTATTGAAAAGTATATTTTAGTTTCCGATTTACATTAAAGGCGTATAAATGAAATCCACGAGGGCCAGGTATCTAACCAAATCTCCCTGGGCTACCCGTCAGCCCCTGACTTGAAGGTGTCCAGGGAACTGAAATTGGACAAAGGAGAATAGCACTTACATTGCTGTTCATCGCTCTTGTCCCCACACTGATCTGTGAAGTCACACACGTTGTCAGGAGGCAAGGACAACCCATTGCCACACTGAAAGTCTTTTGTTCCTTGCTGAACCCATGCAGAGATGAAAACACAAGAAATCCAAAGGAAACAAAAAGCTTCATTCCTTGGGAATGCTAACATTTCGGCCAAGCAGAAGAGCACCACTTGATAGGTCGCTGGGAGATCAGGCAGTTGTAATAGGTGAATCCATAATTAGAAACATCCTTTCTCTTTTCTCTACCCTTTCTTTTCCAGATTTGCCTCTTATGACTGGATACCCTTGGTAACTATCTGCAACCCTAACAAATGACTCCCAGAGCAGTTCATTTACTCTTTCAGAGGAGTGTCTTTAGAAAATATTTAACTTGAGCAATTGCACCTTTTCTGTATCTAGCTAAACATGGATATTTATTGCCCTGTGTATACCATATTTAAACAATGTAAGCCTTTATGATCATGCTATCTCCTGAAAGAAAATTTTTTTTTTAATTTTTTTTTATTCTTATGTTAATCCCCATACATTACATCATTAGTTCTAGATGAAGTGTTCCATGATTCATTGTTCGTGC